GTTGTTGTTGTTGTTTATAATTTATACAATTAACCTTCCTATGGTTTGACTCTAGTCTTGCCCGATTATTTATTACTTCAATATTCTTGCACTTGGAAGAAGACATTAATCTTTTGGTAGTGTCAATCATCTCTCTCGGATGTCATTGGCCAAGCGGTCGACCAATTTAATTTAAAATCCAGTTTTAATAGTTTTAAGCCTAATAAATCTTGAATCTACTTAATATATATCAATTCTATAATGCATGTAATGTAATGTATGTGAAATCATTTTAATTTGTGTTATCACGTAAAACATAAAAATTTATATAATTTATACTAAAATAAATTATTAAAAACTAAGCTTTCACTTGCTTTCTATTATGAATTTATTGATTGATTTCTTTATTTAATTCTCTATGTTTGTTGATAATCTTTATATAAACCGGTTTATATTTATTCTTAATCACACATATTGTTATCTTATTTTTATTTAATTGTTATTATTAAAATTTATACATATTAATATGTTACCGAAGGACAATATCTTTCACTTTCTTTTTCTTTTTTCTCTTTTATTCTTCTATCTGGCGGATCCCGATTGCTAGTGAAGTGACGAGAGAATTAAAAGAGAGACGTCAAACAATTGGATATTTGTGTGCATTGTTTTTGGCACTTCGATTTCTTTTGATGACAAGAAAGAAAGGGGAAAGATGTTAAAAATACAGTAAGTTTTGTTGATGATGAATTTAAAATGGTTTTCACAATTTTTGGATTTTAGTTGATCGATGATGCATTAAATCGTTTACGATATTCGTATGGTTTCCACACTTTTTGGACTCTGGATTTTCTTGGATGCTGTGCTAAATTCATGGCGTGATTTAGTGTTTATATTCTGACTAGTATTTGAGATGTTTGAATTCTTTGTTTGTAAGGTTGAATTCTGCGAGGTTGTATGAGCAGTAAAAACCCTCGTAAGGTTGATGAGACTTCATCAACCTATTAGACTCTTTTGACTAAAATCATTATACTCCTATTTTAGTAAATACTCAATCATATTGCAAGATTTAATCCCAAACAATGAGACAAATTCTTGTAATTGATCCCTTAAATATTTGTTTTAGAAAAGAATAGTTATCCATTCAATTTCCCAAAAAAAAAAAGTTTCTCTCGAATCCTTCTTTAATAATTGCGCGAGGAAATTAGAATCAGTTGTTTTCATGCCCTTGTGGAGCCCAAATACGTTGCCTTTTATACAGAAATTGTTCCAAGTATATTTTGTTTCGTCCTTGCTAGATTTGCATTTTTGTCAAATCAATTGTTTAGTTTTACTCCATAAAAGCAAGGAATCATTTCATACTTTGTTTCGTTCGCTCTGTCTCTTGGAAAAGAAGAAAATTCTGTGAGCCCACAGCTCCTACTAGAATCTGTTGACGATGATGAGTGCTCTTTGTTCGACTAGGATTTCTTCCATCCAATTAAACACAACAAATTATTAGTTATTATATATATTCCTCGTCGTGGGATCTTGCATGGACTCGACAATCATCTCTCTCGGATGTCATTGGCCAAGCGGTCGTCCAATTTAATTTAAAATCCAGTTTTAATAGTTTTAAGCCTAATAAATCTTGAATCTACTTAATATATATCAATTCTATAATGCATGTAATGTAATGTATGTGAAATCATTTTAATTTGTGTTATCACGTAAAACATAAAAATTTATATAATTTATACTAAAATAAATTATTAAAAACTAAGCTTTCACTTGCTTTCTATTATGAATTTATTGATTGATTTCTTTATTTAATTCTCTATGTTTGTTGATAATCTTTATATAAACCGGTTTATATTTATTCTTAATCACACATATTGTTATCTTATTTTTATTTAATTGTTATTATTAAAATTTATACATATTAATATGTTACCGAAGGACAATATCTTTCACTTTCTTTTTCTTTTTTCTCTTTTATTCTTCTATCTGGCGGATCCCGATTGCTAGTGAAGTGACGAGAGAATTAAAAGAGAGACGTCAAACAATTGGATATTTGTGTGCATTGTTTTTGGCACTTCGATTTCTTTTGATGACAAGAAAGAAAGGGGAAAGATGTTAAAAATACAGTAAGTTTTGTTTTGTTGATGATGAATTTAAAATGGTTTTGCACAATTTTTGGATTTTGTTGATCGATGATGCATTAAATCGTTTACGATATTCGTATGGTTTCCACACTTTTTGGACTCTGGATTTTCTTGGATGCTGTGCTAAATTCATGGCGTGATTTAGTGTTTATATTCTGACTAGTATTTGAGATGTTTGAATTCTTTGTTTGTAAGGTTGAATTCTGCGAGGTTGTATGAGCAGTAAAAACCCTCGTAAGGTTGATGAAACTTCATAAACCTATTAGACTCTTCTGACTAAAATCATTATACTCCTAATTAAGTAGATACTCAATCATATTGCAAGATTTAATCCCAAACAACGAGACAAATTCTTGTAATTGATCCCTTGAATATTTGTTTTAGAAAAGAATAGTTATCCATTCAATTTCCCAGAAAAAAAAAAAGTTTCTCTCGAATCCTTCTTTAATAATTGCGCGAGGAAATTAGAATCAGTTGTTTTCATGCCCTTGTGGAGCCCAAATACGTTGCCTTTTATACAGAAATTGTTCCAAGTATATTTTGTTTCGTCCTTGCTAGATTTGCATTTTTGTCAAATCAATTGTTTAGTTTTACTCCATAAAAGCAAGGAATCATTTCATACTTTGTTTCGTTCGCTCTGTCTCTTGGAAAAGAAGAAAATTCTGTGAGCCCACAGCTCCTACTAGAATCTGTTGACGATGATGAGTGCTCTTTGTTCGACTAGGATTTCTTCCATCCAATTAAACACAACAAATTATTAGTTATTATATATATTCCTCGTCGTGGGATCTTGCATGGACTCGACAACTGGATAATTACGTTTATCTTATGTAGTGTTGGCAGCATCTAATATTAGAATAAGCTTAACCAGCGTCTGATTATTTATCGATGATCCCATCTCGATTTAGTATATTCAAAAAAATAAATCATTTTAAATATTAATTCCATAGAAGAAATATCAATTCAAAAGAAAATCTCCTTAATCACTCCCTAGCTTTTAATTTGGGGTTGGTGCAAGTATATTATATGCAATATTTCTCAACAAAAAATATATTTTTTTATTAAATAAAACACATAATATAATATTCACTAAAATATTTATAAATTATTTAGTATAAATCAATCCACTGGATATTAATCTAATAGATTATTATATCAACCTTTTATTTTAAATTTTTTATTAACTAAAATTGAAATCATAATCTTAAAATAAATTTTAAATAGAATGATATTTTAGTATTAAGGGTTATTTAAGAGTGTAAGATGTTGTTTTTCAAAGTGTTTTTCATTTAAAAATATAATAAAATAATATTTTTAATATTTTAAAATTTATTTTTTATATTAGCATATCAAAACAATCCAAAAAATATTAAAAATATTTAAATTGAAAAAATTAAGATTTTAATTAGTTATTATAAATATGGACTTTGGGATTGAGTTCCCAACTTGCTAGACAATACAAAAAGAAGAAAAGGTTCCAAACATATCATTGTAATGGAGTGTTGAATCAGATTTGTAGGGTAAAATCCATATTATATAAAGTAATGAGGAAGAGGGGTAGACGTAGGGACCACAAAAGTATAGCCTTCCCTTTAACGTCCCTAATATTTTGATTAACATGGAAGTAAGGAAGTTGATTCAATTGAGCTTTATTCCATTTCTAATAGTATAAATAGGCATGCCAGATATGGAACAAAGACACACAAGCCAATCTTCTCTACTTCTTCCCCATAACCCAAAGAATCCATTAATTGCTTTCAATTAGCTGATCCCCATGGCATCAGGCCTTCCCCTCAGGCACCCTGCCCAAGGTTTTAATGCTAGCCAGCAACTGATCAAGAGTGACCGCGGCAGCATGCTAACAATGTTCAATGACAATGTGTTGATGAAAGAAATTGAAAGAACTCATGCTCCTGATGGCCTAGAGGTTGATGTCAAACCATATCTCCATCTAGTTGAAGACATCCTCAAACGTGCTACCCAGCAAATCGATACCTCTCTAACGGTATAGTACTAAACTAAACTCATCCTTGGAAATTAACTTGAATATCAACTTAACTCTATTATTTTTTGTTCATTTATGTTACTCTGATCACGTCTGACAATGCAGACTTCCCAAGACCATGCTGAAGTGGAGGACAAGACTCAACAAATCAATTCTGTTTGCATAGCGATCGATCAACTGTCGTATACATTAAAACACGTAAGTTCCATAAAGGTTATACAATATATTTCAATTTTGATGCTATGATATATAGGCATTAATCTAAAGAATCAATTGAAATTTTTCGGCCTTGGTTTTTTTCTGCAGAATGCCTACAAGGAACTGGATGGGCCAGATGCCTGCGGAACAACTGTATCACTTTTCAACATGCTAACAAGCTATATATGATATATAGGCATTGACCTAAAGAATCAATGACAATTTTCAATATTTCGCGTTTTTAATTTTTAGGCAGACTCCCTACGAGGTACTGGGTGGGACAGATGCCCACGCAACAACTGTCTCACTTTTCAACACGCTAGAACGCTTTTCCTGGGATGCCAAGCTGGTGCTCACCTTAGCAGCTTTTGCTTTGAATTATGGAGAGTTCTGGCTGCTTGTCCAGATTTATTCGTCAAACCTGTTGAAGTAAACTCAATCCAGAAGGTCAAGGAAGGCAGCCACCAGCTGTCACCGTCCAACCACCAACCGATCAGCCGCCAGCCGCCAGCTGCCGGCCGCTTTCACACCGTC